TCTCCGATCACTATCTGGTTCATTTTATCCCGACACACAAAAACTGAAATCTGCTAAACCTGTTGTAAAGACTGTGAAAAGATAGACCAACGAGTCAAAGCAGGCCAACAAGTCAAAGCAGGAAGCAGGCCTGCTTGGTTCACAGCAAAGCTCAGGCAGCTTCGTCAGACCAAGGAGGAGGCCTTCAGAAGTGGGGACAGAGTCCTGTACAACCAGGCCAGGAACACGCCCTACGACTAAAGAGGTCAAAGCTGCAAAGAGGTGCTACGCTGAAAAGCTAAATAACAGCTTTGCAGCCAACGAGACTGCGTCAGTGTGGAGAAACCTACAGACACTCACAAACTACAAGAGACCATCCTTCAACACTGCTGGTACTCAACGACTGGCAGACAAGCTGAATGGTTTGTACTGTAGGTTTGAAAAGCCCAGAGTCACACCTCTCCCCCACTCCAACGCCATCTTCAAACAGTCACCTTCCCCCTCTGACCTCTCACCTGCACTCAAGATCTGTGAAGAGGACATGAGCCACCTCTTCCAAAGGCAGAAGATCAGGAAGGCTCCTGGACCTGACTGCCTGAAAATCTGTGCGGACCAGCTGGCCCCCATCTTCACTCAGATCTTCAACAAATCACTGGAGCTGTGTGAAGTTCCCTCCTGCTTCAAACGCTCAACAGTCATCCCGGTCCCAAAAAAACCCTCTGGACTAAATGACATGTCAATGTCATGAAGTCGTTTGAAAGACTGGTGTTGGCCCACCTGAAGGACATTACAGGCCCCTTGCTGGACCCCCTACATTTTGCCTACAGGGCTAACAGGTCAGTGGATGATGCTGTCAACTTGGGTCTGCATCACATCCTGCAACACCTCGACTCTCCAGGGACATATGCAAGGATCTTGTTTGTGGACTTCAGGAGACAGGAGTCAGCAGTTGAGGCTGGGGAACATCACATCCAGCACCCGGACTATCAACACTGGCGCCCCCCAGGGGTGTGTGCTCTCCCCCCTGCTCTTCTCCCTCTACACCAAAGACTTCTCCTCAGGAGACCCATCTGTCAAACTCCTGAAGTTCGCTGACGACACAACGGTCATCGGTCTCATCCGGGTCAGTGATGAGTCGGCCTACAAACGGGAGGTTGATCAGCTGGCTCTCTGGTGCGGTCAGAACAACCTGGCGCTTAACACGCTCAAAACTGTGGAGATGACCGTGGGCTTCAGGTGGAGTCCCCCCACTCTGCCACCCATCACCAACAGCCCTTTGTCTGCTGTGGAATCCTTCAGGTTTCTGGGTTCCACTATAGCCCAGGACCTGAAGTGGGAGCCCAACAATGACACCATCATCAAGAAGGCCCAGCAGAGGATGTACTTCCTGCGCCCGCTCAGGAAGCTCAACTTGCCAAAGGAGCTGCTAATCCAGTTCTACACAGCCATCATCCAGTCTGTCCTCTGCACCTCCATCACTGTCTGGTTTGGATCTGCCACCAAAAAGGACAGGGACAGACTACAACAGACAGGACTGCAGAAACAATAATCGGTGCCAACCTGCCCTCCATTCAGGACTTATACATTTCCAGTGTCAGGAAACGGGCAGGAAACATCACTGCAGATCCATCTCACCCCGGACACAACCTGTTCCAGCTCCTCCCCTCTGGTAGGCGCTACAGAGCACTGTACGCCAAAACCAACAGACACAGAAGCAGTTTCTTCCCACAAACCACCACTCTGATGAACAGCTGATTTCTGACTCACAGTGTCAGGAACAATTCCTGTGCAATAACCCAGTAACTCTGTCTCTGGTCCTTGGTTTCTTGGGGACAGGGATGATAGTGGAGGCTTTGAAGCAGGCTGGCACATGGCGTGTCTCCAGTAAGGTGTTAAAATGTCTGTGAACACCGGAGACAGCCGATCAGCACAGTGCTTCAGGGAGGATGGGGAGATAGAGTCCAGCCCAGCTGCTTTGCGGGGTTTCTGCCTCCTGAAAAGACCGTTGATTTCCCTCTCTGTGATGGAGAGAGGAGGGAGGGGGCCAGCTCTGAGGAGGGAGGGGAAGAAGTGGAGAAGCGGTAGAGGACACCAGAGAGGAGGAGAAGGAGGAAGAAGAGAGAGGAGATTGAGGTGAAGGAGGAGTAGAGATAGGAGGAGGAGGTAGAAAAGGAGTAGGAATAGAAAGTGGAGGAGCAGGGAGGAAGAGGAGGTGGAGGAGGAAAATCTCTGGTCTGTCTCAGACCAAAGACAGGATGCCAGGGCAGAATAGTGAGTTGTTTGGTGTGTAGAACTGTACAGTACACTAAGAAATAAAAAAGGTGCAAATGTTTCCATTTGTTATTTCTTTTGTTGTGTTCATCATGTGAAAAGGTTTTTGAGGGAGAAAACCACAAACAACATTACTTACAAGTTTTTGTAGTATTGTTTTGAATTTATTCCACCAGTGTGTCAGACCGTGTTGCAGTGTGTGTTTCTGAGGGCTTGTGTGTCACGTCTGAGGGCAAAGTTTGGTTTTTCAGCAAGATTGAATGGTTTTGAGTGGAGAGCTTCATTTTGACCTGAAAATAGGATGTTTGGGGAATTGGGTGAGAAGTTGTGGATTTGTGTTTAGAGTTTAGAGGAAAAGAGGCATAATTTCAAGAAACGTGTTTAAGCAATCAAGAAAATAGGTAGGCTATATGGTTTCTTTCTTTGTCTGATTTAACAATATTTATTGTTGTTTTATCATCGAAAATTGACCGGATTCTCTAGGCCAGGGGTATTCAATTAGAATTCAAAGAGGTCCAGTTAGAGAAAACTTCCCGAAGCAAAGGTCCGGAATATTAAAAAACGACTAACTTGCGTTATCATTCAGTACCATAATGTATAGTTCATATCAACATATGTTTTTAGTCAACAACGGACTGTCAAATCAAATAATATTTCAATCAGTTTTCACATCAAACTGGAGGGATAATAAATAATAACTACTCTAATATTAAATTGTAAATTTAATTAAACTAAAACAAAGTGCCAAATTTTTAGAAAAAATGTAATACAAAGTGTAGCTTGAAGTGATGAAGTGTAGTCTTAACCAATTTTATAATAAACACTCAACACATCATAACAAATGAACAGCTGTAATACCTCCTCCTCTCTTTCATTCCCTCTTACAGAGCTACCACTTCTACTTTCTCTTGTTCAGTGAGAAACATGAGCAAACATGAGATTTCTCCTGCCAGCTAGCATTGGAGATCTATGAGATATTCTGGTTTTGAACTGCCCGTGGGAGGAACGTCCATGTAAAAATCTCTACATTCTTGATTAATAGCCATGTGAAATCTCTTGTCCCTTTCGTCTCCTCAATTCGTGTGAGTTTCCAAAAAGGCTCTGGTGAATCTCGCGGACTTGACTCGCAAGCATCGGAATGCACAGATTTTTATTGGCTGAGCAGTGTCACATGAGACGATTGGAGCACATGCGATTGGTCTGTGAGTTTCCTGATCCGCTAAACCAGTACAGTAAATGCCAGAAAAGCTGCGCAGGTTAAAATAGGCCTATGCCTTTCTCTCCGGTTCGTTCTGCTCTGCGGAGGGAGAGCAGCTTCTGGGACATGCTGCGGCTTCGTCTCACAAGCATAAAAGTTTTTCTCGATTGCTTGTAATACAAACACTGGTTATGTGGTGTCCGAACGATAATGCTGCGATGATGTGTTGAGAAGAAATCCGCTTGACACTGTTCTTGATTATAAAAGTTTATTACATCAAAGAATTCAGCATCAATTACAAGCTCTGCAGCAGCTTGGAGAGTGACCCAGCCCGATAACCACTCTGTCTCTCTGTACATTGAACACAGCTTATATAGGACATGTTTAGGTATCTGCTAAATACCATATAAGGGCACAGTGCTGTAGGATAAGTGTAACCATCTGTTAGACACCATAGAAGGGTTCAGTCCCTTCATACACACTACTCTCTACTCCCCCTAACACTGGGTCAGAGGTCAAATTCCATAGGAGGGTTCACTCTTTGCACACCCATCAATCATTACTTCCCCTTCAGGGGTTCACTGTGCCTCTCTCCAGCTCTGGGTCAGGGGTCAAATTCCATATGTTATACACCACAGTTATAAGTAATGTTGCTTGTGGTTCTCCCCCTCAAAAAAACTTTTCACATAATGAACACAAAAAAGAAATAACAAATGTAAACTTCTGTTTCCCTCCTCATGCTCCAGTTCCTCCTTATCTTACTCTTATCGCATCTCCTCCTCCAGCTCCTACTGTTCCTCTTCCTTAACCTCTTCCTCTCTGGTGTCCTCTATGTCTTCTTTCAGATTTGTTTGGATCCATTGTTCCAAAACTGAAAGAACTGAACTTTTATCTATCTATCTGCTCCTCCCGCTTCTTCCTCCTCTTCTTCTCCCTCTTCCTCCTCTCTCATGTCCTAGACCTTTCTCTTTAGATTTCTCTGGATCCATTGTTCCAAAACTGAATGAACTGACTCAGGCCCTTTTATAAAGCTTCTGATTGGTGTGTGATCAATTTTGACTCCTTGTGTTTCCACCTGGGTAGCTGTGTGCTCATTGAGCTCAACCTGTGCTGATTGAGTGAACAATATTGAATGTCAGTGTTTTCTCAATGACCACATGGTGCAGGCAATGAGAAATGAAGTGTGCTTTTTGAAAAACCCAGTTATGGTTTTGCTTTCGCTCACTTTCACTTCTTGCAGACTCGTGTGCCTCATAAAATCAGATACAGTTGGAAAAATACCAGTGAATACTTTATTATTCTGAAAACAATTAGATTACATAATGCATAAAAATAGATTACATTTAGAGAGATAATAGCTTAGTGCAGTGCATTAGTTTACACACAAAATGGAAACATATATGGAGGAGGTAAAGCAGTTTTTTGGAACTTTGTGTTTATCAACAACAATTTCAATATCCATAACTAGTGATAGATGTGGTACTTCAGTGCTGCAGCTTTTGGTTGAAAAAAACACCAGAAACAGGAAGTGTTTCAGGAAGGACAAGCTGTGTGAAATGTTTCTGTGCACCGCAGTTTTTAGTTAATCTGTGCTGGTACTGATAACTGACACAGAGCAGCTGTCATGTCAGCTATGGGGAGCATACAGCAGAGAAACCTACGCTATTTGGCCCTTGGTAAGACAGACTTTCCAAATTTTTATTTGAAAAGCAGCTTTTTTGTACAGCAGGGTTGTTGTATTGTATAGAACAGAAGTCTCTTAAGGCCAATTTTTCCATTTAAAAAACTTCCTATCATTAAAAGAAACACGGGAATCTAAAACAGAAACAAGGAAAACTTTCATTTCTGCACTTTTCAGTTTACTGAATGTAATGAGCCATGTCATTTCTTCTGTTCCACAGTCTTTTTCCTCCTGACTGCTTCTTCACCTGCTGCAGGTCAGTTCATTCTCCTGTGTCATGCGTACAGTAATGTTAGTTTGCTGTTTACTTTATTTTTTATCAGATCTGGGAGTAACACGTTACAAAAGTAATACAATTACAATAATGTATTGCTTTTTGGTGTAAAGCGGTAATATAACATGCATTACTTAAAAAAAACGGTAATATTATAACCGTCACAATCTCAGTAGCGCGTGTTACAACGCACCCGAAATTAAGTGGTGTTTTGTTTTTATAGTAATTCACCAACACCAAGAAACATTTGGGCAGTAGAAAAACAAATCCATAAGTAAAAGAGTAACGTTATTTCCTGTTGCTGGAATCCGATGGTCGGCAGGATTCAAACTACAGCAGCTCCCCTGAAATTTCTGTAGGCTGTGTGTCTGTGCTTTAACAAATAACTTTCATGATCAGAGAGGCTGCTGTCAGTTCATCCTGACTGATCCTGATCCACATATGCAGGCACATCTTACTATGAGCATAATGCACCAATTAAAAAGCAGTGAAAGTTACTCAAAAGTAATGTAAAGCATTACATTTCATAGAAAGTAATATTGTACTCTAATTAATTATTCTCAATTGACAGTAACTAGTAATCTATAATGTATTACATTTGGAAAGGACTTGTCTAGCACTGGTCTTTAAAATACTCTCTGTTATGTCTTACATGCAATGAAGGTGTTCGGATCAGACTAGCTGGGTCCGGGTCTACTCAGTGCTCTGGGAGAGTTGAAATCTATCACAACAACACCTGGGGAACAGTCTGTGATAACAGCTGGGACTTAAATGATGCTGAGGTGGTGTGCAGACAGCTGGACTGTGGTGCAGCACTGAGTGCCACTCAGTCGGCCCGCTTTGGTCAAGGAACCGGTCAAATCTGGCTTGATGATGTGGGCTGTTCAGGAAGTGAAAGGTCTCTAACTGAGTGTCGGCATGGAGGATTTGGGACACACAACTGTAACCATGGTGAGGATGCTGGTGTCATCTGTTCAGGTGAGAAAACGTTTCAGATAAAGTATTTTGAATAAATGTATCCTTTTCTGTGTATTTTAGCAGCTCTGTCACTGAGTCATTGTGGTGTGAAATGTAACACTGTTCAGATGCAGCACTATATGAGCTTCTAACCACACCCTGCAGAATGCTTTTAGAATTGAAGAGCAGAATAACAAGTGGGAAATGTTGCTCAATACAGTAAATGAAACTGTAATGTAGGTGATGAAGTTCATCGAGTGTTTGATCTACTGTGAAAAGTGTTTTATATTTCTCACAGTCTGTATGGGTGATGCAAAGTATAATGAATCATAACCTTTGCCAAATTTGTCTTACAGTAAAGATTTCTGTCATGACTAAATGACAAACAAACACATGTTCTATCCAGCACTGATTTGACTTCTGTGTTCTGAGACTAGGTGTTCAGATCAGACTAACTGGGTCCGGGTCTACTCGGTGCTCTGGAAGAGTTGAAATCTATCACAACAACACCTGGGGAACAGTCTGTGATGACAGCTGGGACTTAAATGATGCTGAGGTGGTGTGCAGGGAGCTGGACTGTGGTGGAGCACTGAGTGCCACTAACTTAGCCCACTTTGGTCAAGGAACCGGTCATATCTGGCTCGATGATGTGGTCTGTTCAGGAAGTGAAAGGTCTCTGACTCAGTGTCAGCATGGAGGATTTGGGTCACATAACTGTAACCATGGTGAGGATGCTGGAGTGGTCTGTTCAGGTGAGCAAGATTTTGTAAATATGTCTCTTATATGTAGCTATTCATAAGTAAAGCAGTAATACTACCATTACTTCTACTAATACTAACAACAACAGTAGCCTAATTGGCAGTAAAACCTTGCCTTGTCTGAGACTGTATGTTACAAAAAAACATTTCAGAGTTATTTCTAATTTGCTGATTTTTCCCCCCTCTGGTTTGGGGTGTGGGATTAAAAGAAAGGGGCGCAGTGTTGTGATTCACCGTATAACTTCTCTCTTTGTGTCCGTATGCCAGTTCCCTCTTTCCACGCTCTCTCTCTCTGTAACATTACAGTTTTTCTCAATGGCTTAAACACATTTCTTGAAATTATGCCCCTTTTTCTCGAAACTCTAAACACAAATCCACAACTTCTCACTCAATCCCCCAAACGTCCTATTTTCAGGTCAAAATTAAGCTCTCCTCTCAAAACCATTCAATTTTGCTGAAAAAACAAACTTTGGCTTCAGAAACACAGTGGAACACAGTCTGACACACTGGTGAGAGAAATTCAAAACAATACTACAAAAACTGGTTGTTAGTAATGTTGCTTATGGTTCTCCCCTTCAGAAACCTTTTCACATGATGAACAGAAAAGAAACAACAAATGTAAACATTTGCACACATTTTTTATTCCTTAGTGTGCTGTACAGTTCAACACACCTAACAACTAATTATTCTGCCCCAGCGTCCTGTCTTTGGTCTGAGACAGGCCAGAGACTCTTGTTGTCCACCTCGTCCTCCTATCCCATCTCCTCCTCCAACACTTACTGTTCCTCTTGCTTCACCTCTTCCTCCTCTCCAAACTGCTCTTCCTCCTTCTCTTCTTCTTCCTCTTCCTCCTCTCTCATGTCCTAGACCTTTCTCTTCTGATTTCTCTGGATCCATTGTTCCAAACTGGATGAACTGACTCTGCTGATTGGTGTGTTATCAATTTTGACTCTTTGTGTTTCCACCTGGGTAGCTGTGTGCTAATCGAGCTCAGCCTGTGCTGATTTGGTGAACAATATTGAATGTCATTGTTTTCTCAATGACCACATGGTGCAGGCAATGAGAAATGGAGGTATTTGTGTGTAGAGTTTAGAGAAATGGGTGTGCTTTTTGGAAAATGGAGTTGTGGTTTTGAAATTTTAGTTTAATAGACTGGTTATAGTGTTCAAGCTATTGAGAAAAACTGTAATTTAATTTCCATCTGTAACAGAGATGCTTGGTCACCAAAGCCAGGCAGTGTCTGACCTGCGCCCAACCCAGGTGTCTATGTGCATCAGTTTGCACCTGCCTGCAACAGTGTTTCTGTGCAGTGTGTCGTGTCTCTTAACTCTTTCTATTCATGCTTTCACTTTTATGACCAGACATCCGAGATCAAAACTGGGAACGTAATCCCTGAAAAGGGGGAAAAAACGGGGACATTTCCAGTTTGACTATCATTTTTTTTCTATTTTAAACTAATACTATTACTTCTATTCAGAGTTTTTTTCTGTATTTAGCCAGGGACAGGCAGCCAAAAACGGGGACACTCCCTGAAGCCAGGGACATCTGGTCACCCTATGATCCCACACTATAAATATGATAGAGAAGCAGAAACAGATGAGAGTAAGAAGAATGAGCACGGGTGGCCGGGTGAACACCGGCCGGTGCAGTAAACATAGCCTAGCTAGCTGGCTACGATTTCAGTACAGTAATATCAAAGATCCTTGCTCCTTCTCAACTCTCTGGTAATATTCTATTCACAAAATACAACCAATAGTACAGTAATGTTAAATCTTACTTATCGTAATCCCCTGAGCTCTGTTTGCGATGGTCTGCCGATTTGAGCATGAATATGCTGCACAGTGCTCTGGCATCTTGCTTTCTTCAGCTGCGCAACTGGGAGTATGACCGGTTCCATAGGGCGTCTACCTCTATATATGTTTATGCTCTGAAGTGCTACTCCTTCAGTCAGAATCTGTAAAAGGGAACAAAGCCAAAATGGAAAGGAGAATCATATACATATTTATCATAATTACAATAACAGAATAATATTATAAATTCTCAAATCTTTAAACCTATTAGATAAACCAAGACGTAATGAGTTTTTAGAGTGGATCATTCATTCAAGTTTCGCATTATACTGCCTTACTACTACATGCTTATTGAAAAAAGACAGGCAGGGTCAAATATCTAAACAAATACATTTAATATTTTTATTGTTGTGTTATTTTTTCAGAGAGCCTCTCAAAGCCCAGCATCTCCATGAATCCTGCTGGTGAGGTTACCTGGGGTCAGGACGTCAGCATCACTTGTTCCATCTCAATACAGGTTCATTTAGACGGAACATTCCTCCTGCAGCAGACCTCAGGCTCATTCAGAAAGACCCAAACATCAAGTACCAACTCTGCTACCTTCATTATACCTAAAGTGAACTTTGATAACGAAGGATCGTACCAGTGTCAGTATCAGACAAGTGTTTCAAGACGAGACTTCAGCTCCCCTTTAAGTGACTCTGTCAGACTCTCTGTTACTGGTAAGACACTTAAATACATAAATTAAATACAGCAATTGACCCAGAAAAGTGTACAGTAACAGGGTTGGGAGGATTACTTTAAAAATGTAATCCGGTACAATTACTAATTATTTACTTATAACATAATCCAAGTACCACAAAATAAAAGTAATGTAATCTGATTACTTTTAGTTACTTTTGGATTACTTCATATGCAAATGAAGACAAGTGAAGATGCGTTGTCTGCTTAGTGTGACATAGAATAACAAAATCTTCCGTTCCCAAAATCCACATTTAAATGTTTTTCTATGATATGCTTTGCACTATGTCTGGCCCATCAATGACAAAAACGTTGTTTTAGAGGTATTCTTGATGATATTTAAGAATTTGTCATTTGGACAACCATTTTAAAATGTTGATGACTCACTCTGCACTTGTTGTATTAATTTAGCGTCCAGTGAAAAGATTTCTCAATATAAAGCTGCTGAAGCATCGTGTTTCACGGACCGGGCGCCATTGAATGCTGTACAAAAATAACTTTTTCACTGATTTTGGTGAAACTCGATCATATTTGATGGAGAAATATTAGAAAAATTTAGAAAATATATTCTAATTTTCTCTCTGGTGTCCCCCGGCTGCTCTGCCTCAACTCTGTGATTCACAGAGTTTCCTGATGGACAGAGAGCTTTAACTTGTTGCTGAAGTTAGTTTCTTGATTTCTTAAACACATTTCTTGAAATTATGCTTCTTTTTCTAGAAACTCTAAACCTCAGACATGACACACAAGCCCTCAGAAACACACACACTGCAACACGGGCTGACACACTGGTGAGAGAGATTCAAAGCAATACTACAAAAACTGGTTATTAGTAATAATGGTTCTCCCCCTCAGAAACCTTTTCACATGATGAACACAAAAGAAATAACAAATGTAAACATTTGCTCATGTTTTATTCCTTAGTGTGCTGAACAGTTCAACACACCCAACAACTACTTATTCAGCCCCAGCGTCCTGTCTTTGGTCTATGACAGGCCAGAGACTCTTGTTCTCCACCTACTCCTCCCTCCCTACTCCTACACCTGCCGGAGTAAAAAGTGTTATGCAGTGAAAAATTAGCTGCCTGCTCTCATTGGCTGGATATGGATGTTGAGTCGGCCGACTCCGCAGATATTTGGCATGCTGGATTTCTGGCAGACGTCGGCGATGTGTCAGAAATGTGTCGGGGAGTCGTTTTGATGCGTCGTTGAGTAGTTCACACGTAACAAATCGGGCTATAAATCGTGTAGTGTGACCTAGGCTTTACTCCTCTCCATACTGTGTCTCCTCCTCCTCTCTGGTGTCCTCTCTGTCTTCCTTCAGATTTCTCTGGATCCATTGTTCCTAAACTAAATGAACTGGCATTGGGCCTTTTATCTTTCTATTGAATCTTCTGATTGGTGTGTTATCAATTTTGACTGTTTGTGGTTCACCTGTGTGCTAATCGAGCTCAGCCTGTGCTGATTGAGTGAACAATATTGAATGTCAGTGTTTTCTCAATGACCACATGGTGCAGGCAATGAGAAATGAAGGGATTTGTGAGTAGAGTTTAGAGAAATGAGTGTGCTTAGCTCAGTTAGCTGTGCAGCCACTGGTCAGATTAGCTCTGCCCATACTGGGAGCTCGGAGCACCAGGGAGTGTTTGTGTTTACCACAGACTGTATGAAGGTGTTTACACCTTTACTCAAGCACTGGAGGTTTTCAGGCCAGGGGCGGGGGGGCCTGGCATGGAATG